TGCAGATGATGATGATGACGATGATGATGATGATGATGATGATGATGATGATGATGATGATGATGGTGATGGTGATGGTGATGGTGCTGTTGATGGTGATGGTGATGGTGGCGATGATGATGATGACGATGATGATGTTGTTGATGATGGTGATGGTGATGATCATGGTGGTGATGGTGATGGCGATGGTGATGATGAGGAGGAGGAGGAGGAGCAGGCGGCGAATGAGGATGATAATGAGGATGAGGATGAGCATGAGGGTGAGGATGAGGGTGAGGATGAGGATGAGGATGATAGTGATGATGATGGGGAGTATGAGGACGAGGATGAGGACGAGGATGAGGATGAGGACGAGGAGGATGATGATGGTGGTGGTGCGTGCGCAGGAGGGGTTCAAGTGGAGAAGAGGACAATCGGGAGGGCTCCGCATCAGGAGGAGTCTTCGTTTTTTACTCATCCTCCCATGTATTTCGAGTTGCCCCTGCATGAAGATCGGCCGTACTCGCTCCTCTCTGCACGCTGCGTGCCAAACCTGTGCAAGCCGTTTTCTGTGTGCGCCGTTCTCTGCGCCTTGGCGCGCACGCACAGCGAGGATCGGAGGCGGCGCAAAAGTGCGGGAGGACGTCAGCGCGAGGCGATCGCGGCAGCGGAGGAGAGACAGAAGTGGTCGTGTATAGATGTTGTTTGGATTCCCATTGGCGAGAAGAGATGGGGGAGTTGATGGGGTCGGGGGACGGGCGCGCAGAACTCCGACGTCGTGATTTGCTCAAAACGTGGCCCCCGGAGGTCTGGACCCGTTCCCCTGGGACCGGCTCCTGATCCCGGTCTGTTGTTTGACGGTTTGGGGCCCTGGCAAGGGCCCCCTGAAACCGAAAATGTCCCAAACCGCCGGTCGCGATCTTTTCCTCGACGAGAGGAGGCTGGGATAGGCGGAGGAAGGCACTCGGCCGCATCCTTCCTCCCCTTCCTTCCTGTCGAATGGCATTCCTTCCTACCGAATGGCCTTCCTCCCCTTCCTTCCTATCGAATGGCCTTCGAATCTCTTGGGTTCCTGCCTATGGATTTCCGATGGCGCAGACAGATTAGTCAGTGGAGGGTACAGAGTATCTAATGGCCTTCGGCCCATCCGCCGCCGCCGTGCCTGGGTTGATGTTCGCTGGGATCTCGTGGGAGGCTTCTCGGGGGTCTCTTGGAGGCAGTTTGGAGGCCTCTTGGGGGCCGTTTGGAGTCCTCTTTTGGGCCTCTTGGGGCCTCTTGGAGGCCTCTTGGGAGCCTCTTGTGGCCCCCTGGGCGCTCCTTGGGGGCCTCTTGGGGGCCTCTTGTGGCCTCGTGGGCGCCTCTTGGAGTCTCCTGGGGGCCTCTTGGGGTGGAGGGCACGGATTTTCCGTACGTGCTCCTTCTCTTGGGCTCCTTCTGGGGCCGTCTTGGGACTTTCTGAGTCCTTTCTTGGGCACTTTTTGTACCGTCTTGGGACCCTCTTGGGCCGTGTTGGGGCCCTCTTGGAGGCCTCTTGGACCATCTTGGGGCGGTCTTGGGGGCCTCTAGGGCCATCTTGGGGGCGTCGGGAAGCCGATAAGGCGAGAACGCCACAATCCTTCAAACGTACGGAACATCAATGATTTTGGCCTCTTGGGCCCCTCTAGGGAGGCCTTTTGGAGGCCTCTGTAGGCGTCTTCGAGGCCACCTGAGCCGTCTTGGGGTCATCTTAGGCGTCGTGGAGCGATTTTTGAGCGCCTCGGGGCCATATTGGGCCGTTTCGGGACCACCTTCGGGCTCTCGAAACAGCCCGTCGTGAAGTCTTCTTGGGCCCGAACAGGTCACGCGGGAAGACTGGGGAGCCCAAGGGGCACGCGGCAAGGCCCGGCGGAGTTGAGAATTTGGGTTCAGGGCCTCTTAGAGACCCCTCAGGAGTGAGGACTGAGGATTGGAGGCCTGAGAACGAGAGGAAGGCGGAGGAGGATGAGAAGACGGAGGAGGGAGGAGGGAAAGAATGGGGGGGGCAGCACGGGGGAGAAGGGACACGCACACGGCTGGTGGGGTGGTTCGAGTCGAATCGCAATCGGCTCGCAGCGACGGCGGGGATGCGCGGTGGCATCCGCCATCTGATGAATGAGATCCGACGACCCTCAGGGGGTCTGTGAGAAACCCATCAAAAACCAGGGAAGCACCAGAGAGTGGTTCTCTACTTGATCATACATGCTCTATGCACTGCACTGTAACTGAGCGTTCGCAGAAACACAGTGGGATGCACAGAGCAGTTATCCAGAACCGACTACAGCAGATCTCTGCAGAGCCGCAGTCGGGCGCCGAGGCCGTTCCTATTCACGGCCCTCAAGCTCATCTTACGGAAGTCCACCTTGAACAGGTGCGTCTTCAGCTTCATCTTAATATTGGCGTCGCTGCGACCAGACAGAAACCTTTGGTATCTGGCCTCCAACGCCTCATTATCGCCGAAATTGTCACAGGAGGTGAAGTCCTCCCATTCGCCACATTTATACCACATACTCTCCATTGATACTGATGGCCCTCGCAAGTGGTATCGCACACGAGGGCCGTTTGCTCCATGGCCGTCTCGCCGCACGGGTCGACTGTGTCCTTTTTCGCGGGCTCGAGAATCCCACAGGTGGTGTCGCTCAGCTCCTTGTTGTCGCTGAGCGGGTGGTCCTCGACGCGCTTGTCCAAAGCCTCCACGACGGGCTGCTCCAGCGGCTCCTCATCCGTCTCGGCACGCCAGTCGATGACCTCCTTGTCGGCCCCACCCAGATCGGGCCTCTGTAGGTCGATGCACACCTGGTTCTCGCAAGTGGTGTCGTTCAGCCCCTTGCTGTCCACGGTGGGCAGAACATCTTGCATATCGGTGCTCTCGGTCGGCACCATTGCCATGAACTCCTTAACGGCCAGGTCGCGCTCCGGAGGTTTGAGTCAGAGGGCCCGCACGAAGTCCAGCTGGGGGTACTGCCTCAGAATTTCGTCGAGCTGCTGGGGGTCGCCGCTGGGCTCCTCGGAAGGGGGCAGCTCCTGAGGGGCGACCATCATCTCCTCAACGGGCACCTTGAACGAGTCCTGCTTCGGGGAAGTGGAGTCGATGCGCAGCTGAGAGGCCACAGGCTCCCCGTCGGAGATGGCGGGCGCCTGGTTGTCTCCCGCCTCCTCGTTAATGAACTTCTCGCCAGAGGCCTGCTGCTCGATGTCGTCCTTCGGAGCGAATAGCTGAGCGCCATCATGGCCTCGATGTGCGGGAACGGTGGTGAGGCCGTCGCCCAGGTGGCTGGGGACGGCGTCCGCGACGAACTCGCAGTGGCCGAATTCGGCGAAGTGCTCCGTGACCGCGTGCTGCTCCTCGAAGGCGTACTGCTCCTCGAAGGCGTGCTGCTTCGCATGGAAGTAGGCGAAGTCGTCGCAGCACAGGCCAGGTGGTGGTCCTGCCGCCAAGAGTCCAGCCAGACGGTGGCTGGCTTGCTGGGCCTTCCGCGCATGCGTGGCGCGCAGGCGGGCCCCGCGTGCAGCGCCGCCCGACGTCGTCCTCGGGGCCGCACGCGGGGGCGGCGCACTCGACGTCATGACAGGCGCTATCTTCTGCAGCGGGTGAAACGCTCCCAGTCGCAGCCTGCGCCTGGGGAGAACCAGGCGGGGCAGCGGGAAGCGCGGGTTTGAGCCCTAAACCCCTGGACCTGACCAGAGGCGCAGTCACGGGGGAGAAGGAAGGGGGAGGAGAGTAGGGAGAGGAGGAGGACGAGATTGGGGAGGAGATGAGGGATGGGCGGGAGGAGCGGCTCGCACGCCACCCAGCGAGCGACCACAGGATCTGAGGACACGCCCACTCCGTGCCCAGAAGCACGGTGGCGGATAGTGGACGAAGGGCCCTTGACATCCTCGCGTCGTGGAAAACGGAAATAAGATTTGGGGCCCTTGCCGGGCCCGGGGACCGTCACAAGAACAATTCGGGGTGACAACATTGTCCCCCGGCCGGGGTCTGGGGAGCAACGTTTTGAAACAAGCACGGGGACGCTTGTCCTGGGGCGGCAGGACAGCATATGCCTTGATGTGGCATTGCACGGGGCATTGTTTTCCAAGCCGCCCTGCAACGGGCGTTTCCTGATGGAGGGCACGCTTATAAAGGAACAAACAATGACATAAACATAAAAACTCGGAGGTCCGCGCGGATTTCTTGGATCGGCGCTGGGGCCCCCTGGCGGCGCCTCCAGCGCCACCCCTGGCTAACTCCGCGCGCCAGGGAGGGGGGCGCAGTGCCGATCCAAGGAATCCGCGCGGACCTCCGAGTTTTATGTTTACGTTATTGCTTGGTTCCCCGGCTTGAACGTACTCGCTATCGGCGAATACAATTTGCCCTGAGGGCTAGTCAAGCTGGACTCGCAGCAGCGCAGCAGGGCCTGCGTGCCTGCGCCCGTGGGCGTGCCGAGGAGCTGCGCGACGCGACGTGCGTGGGCACGCAGAGGATCTGCGGTGCGGCGGGGAGCGTCAGCCCGTAGAGGTTGCCTCCTCCTCCTTCTCCTCCTCTCATTCCTCTTTTCGCACCTCACCCCACCCTGGTCACCTCCCTCCTCCTCCCCTCCCCCTCGTCACAGTTGCCGACGCAGGGTGTTGGTAGGAGTGCCCCTGGCCCAAGGTGCCCCCAGGATCTCCAAGGAGGCCCCCACGGCCTTCATCAGGCGATCTTAGCGGCGGGTCCCGTTTCCGTGGGAAATCGCGGATTTCCGCCGCAGAACGAGGCGGCACTGGCCGCATTTTGGGGAGGGCACCTTCCCCGATCCATGGATTTGGCGACCGCGCGCCAAATCCATGGATCGCCAATCCATGTTTGCGCGCCCCCCACCTCCAGAACCACCCCCCACGAGGCCCGGAGGGCCTCAGGAGCTCCAGGATGGATCGAGAGGTTGGGGGGCACCTTGGGCCAGAGGTCCTTGAGCTGACTGCTGTGGCTGTTAGCCACAGCAGGCCCGCCGTCCAGAGACGCAGGGTATATTCAAGTGCTGCGTGGCATGTGCTCGGGCCCTGGCACCGCTGGAAAAACACAGAGCGCCCTCCGACCGCCAGGGCGCCAGCGGGCGCCCCGCGCGCCGCACATGATGCGCCGGGCGCGTGCGCCGGCGCTCGCGGCCGCCCTGCTGCTCGCGCTGCTCGCCCAGAAACGCCCGCCAGGCGCGCTGGCGCCCGCCCGCCCCGCATCCTGGCAGGGCCTACGGTGCGCTCGCGGGCCCCGCCGCGGGGCCTTCGGCGGCCCGGGCGGGCGCGGCGGCGTCGGCTACGTTGGCGCCCGAGGGTAGACTGAAGTCGGGCATGTCCCTCTACAGGACGAGTATTCAAGAGTGGTAAAATATTCTCTGGAGACGATTTGTCTACCATCATCCGTAAGGGCTTCGCTCCCATGCCGCCGGCACTCCTCTCGTAGAATTGGACTTGCCAGAGCTGTGTTTGGATGTCTGGACGCTGACGCGAAGCAAGGTCGGGACTTCACGCGAGGGCCAACATTACTTTACAAGGGCCTGTGGCTTCGATGGCGCGCATACTAGGTAATGTATTCTGGATTATTGCTTCGGGAACGCGAGTATTCCATAATTTGCAAAAGGGTTTGTGGCCTCGGGGACGCAAATATTGTATAATTACCAAGTTTGATGGCCTCGGGGACGCGAATGTTGTATAACCTGCGAAGGATTATTGCTTCGGGGACGCAAGTATGGTATAATTTGCGATGGTTGATGGCCCCTGGGACGCGAATATTTGTTGAAATGCTCGAAGGAGTACGGCTTCGGGGGCGCGAATTTTCAACAATTCACACAAAGGTTTATGGTTCCGGGGGGCGCGAACATGGTGTACTTTACGAGAGTTTATGGTTTCGGGGACGCGAATATTACATACATGATGTATGAAGTGCTATGGCTGACGCGAATCTCTCGTAATGCACGCGGGTTTCGTGCTTCGGGGTCGCGAATAGCGCGACATGTATCAATATGACGCGAACATTGCGTAATTTACGATGGATTATGGCTTCGGGGGCGCGGACATTATAATTTGTGAGGGTTCACGGCTTCGGGGACGCAAGCATCGTGTCATTTACAGGGGATGGTTTTTGGGGGCGCAAACATTGCGTATTTTACCAGGGTTCATGGCCTCGGGTACGTAATTCTTTCATAATGTATGACGGGTTATGGTTTCGGGAGCGCAGATTTTGCATTATTAGCGAAGGGTTGTGGGTTCGGGGACGCGACTATTGTATACTATACGAAAGGTGTATGGCCTCGGGGGCAGAATGTTGCATACAAAACGAGGTTTAATAGTTTCGGGAACGCGAGGATTTATGAAGTGTTATAGATGCGGGGACGCGAATCTCACGTAATGCATGAGGGTTTCCTGCTTCGGGGGCGCGAATCATGCGACATGTATCAAGGTTTATGGATTCGGGGACGCGAATCTCGCATACTTTACAATGGATTATGGCTTCGGGGGCACGATGTTCTTCATTCTACGAAGGTTTGTGATTTTGGGGACGCGACTCGTATCAAATGTACTATGGTGTATGGCCTCGGGGACGCGACTATTGTATACTTTACGATGGTCTATGGGTTCGGGGGCGTGAGCATCTTATACTTTCTCATGGTGTATGGCCTTAGGGACGCGAGTATGGTTTAGTTTACTCGGGATTGTTCTTCGGGGATTCGAAGATCATGTAGTTTCACGTCCCCCTCGGGAATTCAGAGCACGCGAATCGGGGGTGGTAGCCAGGAAGCTTTTCGGCTCCCCCCCCCTCGCGCGCTCAGCAACAACAGTGAGGAAACAGAACGCAGGATTGTAACAGTGGAAACTGGAAAGCGCAACTGTAACAGGGAGCTGAAATCCTCATCCTCGCACCGTGATGGCCCCGCAAAGGGGGCCGGCGGATTGAACTCTCCCAAACCATCCTATGGTGTTGGGTCTTCGTTTTGAAGAGGCGGTCCCCGCGTTCTTCTTCTCCTCCTCCTCCTCCTCCTCCTCCTCCTCCTCCTCCTCCTCCTCCTCCTCCTCCTCCTCCTCCTCCCCCTCCTCTTCCTTTCTTCCCCTCCTTGCCTATGCCCTCCGCATGCCTCTGTTTCGGCACGCCCCTCAGACGTTTCGTGGCCCCATACGGAGCTCCACCGAAGGCCCCAGTGCCATCGTCCGCATGCGTCCCCCGCGTCAATTTCGACACCCCCCTCACACGCTCCATGGCCCCATAGGGAGTTCCACCGAAGGCCCCAGTGCCACCGTCCACATGCGTCCCCCACACCCGTTTCAGCACACCCTTCACACGTCTCGTGTCCCCATAAGGAGCTCCACCGAAGGCCCCAGTGCCACCGTCCACATGCGTCCCCCGCTCCCATTTCGGCACACCCCTCACACGTTCCGTGGCCCCATATGGAGCTCCACCGAAGGCCCCAGTGCCACCGTTCACATGCGTCCCCCGCACATATTTCGGCACACCCCTCACACGTTTCGTGGCCCCATATGGAGCTCCACCGAAGGCCCCAGTGCCACCGTCCACATGCGCTCCTCACACCCATTTCGGCACGCCCCTCACACGCTTCGTGGCCCCATAGGGAGCTCCACCGAAGGCCCCAGTGCCACCGTCCACATGCGCTCCCCACACCCATTTCGGCACACCCCTCACACGCTTCGTGGCCCCATAGGGAGCTCCACCGAAGGCCCAATGCCACCGACCACATGCGTCCCCCGCATCCATGTCGCCCCCCCACCACAAGTTTCGTGGGCCCATAGGGAGCTTCACCGAAGGCCCCAGTGCCATCGTCCGCATGCGTCCAGCTCCACCAAAGGCTCCAGTGCCACCGTCCACATGCGTCCCCCACACCCATTTCAGCACACCCTTCACACGTCTCGTGGCCCCAAGGAGCTCCACCGAAGGGCCCCAGTGCCACCGTCCACATGCGTCCCCCGCACACATTTCAGCACACCCTTCACACGTCTCGTGGCCCCATAGGGAGCTCCAGCGAAGGGTCCCAGTGCCACCGTCCACATGCGTCCCCCACACTCATTTCGGCATACCCCTCACGTTTCGTGGCCCCATATGGAGTTCCACCGAAGGTCCCAGTGCTACCGTCCACATGCGCCCCCCCCACACCCATTTCGACACACCCCTCGCACGTTTCAGGGCCCCATAGGGAGCTCCACCGAAGGCCCCAGTGCCACACCCCTCACACGTTTCGGGGCCACATAGGGAGTTCATCCGAAGGTCCAGTGGCACAGGCCGCATGCGCTCCCCACACCCATTTCGGCACACCCCTCACACGTTTCGTGGCCCCATAGGGAGCTCCACCGAAGGCCCCAGTGCCACCGTCCACATGCGCTCCTCACACCCATTTCGGCACGCCCCTCACACGCTTCGTGGCCCCATAGGGAGCTCCACCGAAGGCCCAATGCCACCGACCACATGCGTCCCCCGCATCCATGTCGCCCCCCCACCACAAGTTTCGTGGGCCCATAGGGAGCTTCACCGAAGGCCCCAGTGCCATCGTCCGCATGCGTCCAGCTCCACCAAAGGCTCCAGTGCCACCGTCCACATGCGTCCCCCACACCCATTTCAGCACACCCTTCACACGTCTCGTGGCCCCAAGGAGCTCCACCGAAGGGCCCCAGTGCCACCGTCCACATGCGTCCCCCACACACATTTCAGCACACCCTTCACACGTCTCGTGGCCCCATAGGGAGCTCCAGCGAAGGGTCCCAGTGCCACCGTCCACATGCGTCCCCCACACTCATTTCGGCATACCCCTCACGTTTCGTGGCCCCATATGGAGTTCCACCGAAGGTCCCAGTGCTACCGTCCACATGCGCCCCCCCCACACCCATTTCGACACACCCCTCGCACGTTTCAGGGCCCCATAGGGAGCTCCACCGAAGGCCCCAGTGCCACACCCCTCACACGTTTCGGGGCCACATAAGGAGTTCATCCGAAGGTCCAGTGGCACAGGCCGCATGCGCTCCCCACACCCATTTCGGCACACCCCTCACACGCTTCGTGGCCCCATAGGGAGCTCCACCGAAGGCCCCAGTGTCACCGTCCACATGCGTCCGCCGCACCCATTTCGGCACACCCCTCACAGGGTGTTTTGCCCCATAGGGAGCGCCACCGAAGAAGATATTCAGAATTGCGGTGCGCACAACTGCATATGTTTGGGTTCTTCGCCAGGCTAAGGTAATGTGTAGTTCAGGATTTGTTTTCATACATTTGTCTTCCCAAATCCGCCTGTAGGCGGACATGCCCGACCCAAGGGTAGACCAAATGGCGTGGCCATCAGTCAGAGGAGCAAGAGGTCACGACGGTGATGCGCTCCCGAATTCCCCAGGTCTCCAGGAGCCCCCGCAGTCGCCAATTTTCCGCGCCCGCTCTGCCGCGGGGCCTCGGGCGGCCCAGGCGGGCGCGGGTTTCTGAGAAGCCCCGCCGCCTGCTGAGAGGGCCCGCTCCGTCTCGGGGGCGGACCGACCCCGTCCGTTGCGACGGCCCCGTCGCCTCGCTCCGAGGCGCAGGCAGGTTGTCGGAGGGGCACCTCTGGGGCGAGGGGTTCGTCGCGGGAGGGGCTTGGTCACGGAAGCGGTCCGTTGGGCCACGCCCAATGACAGAAGCGGCTGTTCAAAGATGCGGTCCCGAGGGATGGGGTCTTGAGGGCAGGATGGGACCCAAGGTCGGATCCACAGTCTGTGAGGCACTTCGTCCTCGGGATCCCACCCACCAGGACCCCGTCCTCGGCGCTGGGCCCCCCCTGGCGGCGCCTGCAGCGCCGCCCCTGGCGCGCTCCGCGCGCCCCGGAGGGCGGGGGCCCATCGCGCCCTGGCTCACCCGCAGGGGCGCGAAGCTGACTGCGCTTCACGCGTCGGGCCTCGACGCACGAGTCAGACCAGCTAAAGCACCGACGCGGGTGCCCAGGAGGAGACGGGAGGGGCAGAGTCGGCGGCGGGCGAGGAGGGGAAGTGAGACGGAGAAGGCCTTCTCAGAAGGCGGCGGGTCTTCTCAGAAGCCTCCGCGCCTTCTGAGAAGTTTTCTCAGTCCCCGGGGAAGGCTCAGGAGACTTGCCAGAAGGCCGGGGGACTTCCGAGCCTTCTTAGGAGACCCGCCCCTTTTTACTTCCCCTCCGCGTTCGCCGCGAAAAGAGGAAAATCCAGAACATGGTGAGGAATGTCATGGGATTCTGGGACCTGTGTCTATTTCTGTGTGTCTCTCCGTGAGCTGAGTCGCAAGGCGTGCCCTTCTCCAGGGCGGAGGCCCGAGGGCGCGAAGCGAAGCGCGCGTCGCGCACTGCGGCGCGCGATGCGCGGAACCTCGGGTAGTTTATGTTGGCTGTGCCGCTGGTGTGAAGCGCCCTGGCCACGCCCTTGTTGCAGACAGCTGGAGCACTCCGTGAGGTCACCTCGATTCCACCACTCCTCGCCTGTCCGAGGGTGCACACACCAGCGACACAGCCAGGGTGGGCGCGAAGCGAAGCGCGCGGCGCACCGTGGAGCGCTGGCCGAAGAACCCGCGCGGGCCTCTGAAGGTTTACGCTCGTGCAGCTTTTTGCTTTAAGTCGGGCGTGTCCCTCCACAGGAGGAGTATTCAACAATGGTCAAAGCGTGGTCGGGGGACGATTCGTTGGCTACTTTGGAACATGGTTGACTATTTTCTTATTTCTCCTCCAAAATCCGCCTGTAGGAGGACAGGCCCGACATGAGTTTAAGCTCGTGCAGCTTTTGTTCCTCCAGGCGTGGAGGTCGTGGCCTCGCGCAGGGCCCCGAGGCGACCCCCCCCGACCGCGGACGAGCAGCTGCTGTGGGCCCTGGGGTGCGAGTTGTGGGCGGCCGGCTCCGAGATGCAGGTGGCGAGAAGCTCCAGCTCGGCCGCGAGCACAAAGGGGGGGTAGGAAGAGGAGGAGGAGGAGGAGGAAGAGGAGGTGGAGAAGGCGGAGGAGGAGGAGGAGGAGGAGGAGAGGAGGAGGAGGAGGAGGAGGAGGAGGAGGGAGGGGAGGAGGGGGAGGGGGAGGGGGAGGAGGAGGAGGAGGAGGAGGAGGAGGAGGAGGAGGAGGAGGAGGAGGGGGAGGAGGAGGAGGAGGAGGAGGAGGAGGAGGAGGAGGAGGAGGAGGAGGAGGAGGAGGAGGAGGAGGAGGAGGAGGAGGAGGAGGAGGAGGAGGAGAGAGGAGGAGGAGGAGGAGGAGGAGGAGGAGGAGCAGGTGGAGGGGGAGGAGGGGGAGAAGGGGAGAAGGAGGCGGAAGAGGAGGAGGAGGAGGAGGAGGAGGAGGAGGAGGAGGAGGAGGAGGAGGAGAAGAAGAAGGAGAGGAAGACGCCAGTTGGGTCGGGAGGGGAGAGGGGGCGGGGTGTGCGACCGCCCTCTGGCAGACCAGATGCAGGTGGCGAGTAGCTCCATTTCGGCCACGCGCAGAGGGGGGCGGGGGGAGGGGGGAAGGCTTCTTAGACCCAAACATGATCGCGTCGTAAAACAATCAGGACGGCACCTGGGGGCCCTCGCCGGGCCCCGCGACCGTCAACAAAACAACTCAGGATGAAAATCCGGCCCTGGGGAAAGGGTCTGGATTTCCAGGGACGCCGCCCTGACACAAATCACGACGTCGCATGTCTGGGAAGGCTTCTTAGAAACACCCCTGCTTCTAAAAAGACGCAGGCCTTCTCTATGGATGTAAGGCCGGCGCCTTCTAAGAAGCAGCCTCCTTCTAATAAGCCTTTCCCCCTCCCCCTATCCCTTGTGCGCGCCGCCGACAATCTCGAAGGAGAGGTAGCGGCATCAGCATTCATTTGTCTGAGATCTGTCTGGATTTCTTGGATCGGCACTGGTCCAGCGGACGGCAATGGGAGGTGGGGGCAATAAAGGTGGGGGGGCGGAGGACTTCATGAAATTGTCCTAAATTGCCACTGCGGCCACACAGGTGCACGAAAGGCGAACACCCGAATTGGACCCCCCCACCAGCGCCGCCACTGGCACGCTCCCCGGGGGGGTCCTGCGCCCGGTCCAAGAAGCCCTCGCGGAGCTCCGAAAGTTTGTGTTCGTGCCGTCGCTTCTGCCTCTGCCGTCACGAGCGGCGAGCTGGGAGGCCCGCACTGGCAGCGGAGGCCCCCCGTTCCTGGCGGTGGCGCACAGCCGGGGGAGGGCTGCACGTCGCACTTGCCGACGGCCCTGAGGAACGCGGGCTGCTCCATCCAGGACTCTTGCGGTGAAGACGGTACCGATGCTGCTACCGTCTCCCCGTGTTCAGCTTTTAGGGCCTCCTCGGAGGTCCTCGTCGCCACCGCTGGATTCGCCTCGAGATTCTGGTCAGAACGTATCCCCTGAGAGGTCCAGGGAGTAGCGGCATCGGTACCTTTCTGGTTTCCCCAAGGACGCGGCGGATAGCATGCTGGACCGCAGGTGGGGTTCGGTGGCAATTCGTGGGAGTCTCGTGCGCCCTCGAAGTCCCGCTCGTAGGGTGCATCAGCATGCGCTGGCGTCTGGTGATCGATGAGAGAGCGCAGGTTTATCGTCCTTTAGCGTCGATTTAGCGTCGACTCGTGCCAGCTAGCGTCGATTCGCAAGACCCAGCGAGATGGCATGGGAGGGTCTCATGAGTTGCAACGGAAGGTGGGGGGCCGCCTGGCGCCAGCTGGAAAACGCCTCCACGACGTGCCGCGAGTATTGGCCGGCTGGTGCCTTCGAGGGCTTGGTCAACCTGGTCTTCTGCCAGGCACAACCAGTGGCGGAACGTTTTGATTGTCTATGAGCCTACCAAATAGTTCTTTAATGATATCTTATGGTTTGTGCGGAATGTTCTCAGAACGTGCCTGGCTGAGGTAGCTTTCGTTTAGCACATGGGTTCTGTGGTCTCAGAAAACCGTGTTCTGTGATGGGAGCATTACTGTCAACCCGCATGGTAAGGATGGGCAACCTTCCCAAGGTTACCCTTGCATCCTTCCCCTTCGGCCCATTCGTGGCGACTTGCGCTGGCCAACCTCGTTCGACAAAAACGTCAACATGGCCCTCCATGGCCCTTGCATCCTTACCGTGCATCCTTATTATACGGGACGACTGTATTCGGTTTGCGGAGCATGTCGTGGTAGGCCTATAGCAATGCCGGGACGGCTGGCCCCTGCTCGACAGGCGGAAGACCTCCCCAGCCTGGAGAAGCGGGCCGCTGCGAGCGAGTCGCTCGAGAAGTTGGCGGCCGGCCTGGCCAACGCCATGGAGCAGGTGGAGCTCAACAACGACCTGCGGTTCCCCTACCGCGAGCGGGGCGTGGTGCTGCTTCGGAGCGCCGGGGAGCTCCTGCAGGAGGGCGCCGAGGTGCTGAGGGCGGGGAAGTTCCACGCCTACAGGGACCCGCGCGGCAAGAGGGCGGAGGAGGACCGGGACATCCACGGCTGGTACGACGGGGACCCCGATCCGGAGGCAGAGAGCGACGAGGACTACGCCGAGTACGACGCGGCGAGTTTTTCCTCCTCGTCCGCAGAACCCGGCAGCGGCAGCTACGCCGCCATGCGCATTAGCGAGATCAGGGACCAGCTGGAGCGGGCGAATGTAGGAGGTCCCAAGGCGCGGAGGGCGCTGCTGCGGAGGCTTGTGCGCGAGTGCCACCCCGACCAGAACCCGGGCCGGGAGTCGGACGTGCTGCCGGTGTTCAACTACGTCCTCAGGACGCCGCCACGAGAGGGGACGTTCGAAATGGATACGGAAAGAATCGGTACGATGCCCAACAGCAGTTCTTGTTCATTTTGAACAGGACTCGCTGTCCGCGCTGCCGTGGACGCTGTTCGTCGAAGACAAGAAGCCGCCTGCCCAACTGCCAACAGCGGCCGCTGTCGGTGTTGGACAACATTTGTTGTTGGGCATAGTACCCATGTTTTCCGTACCTATTTCGGGCGTCCAAAATGAGAAGGGCGGGGTCTTGAGGGAAAGAGGTCCTGAGAGGTTCGCCGTCGCTTGCCTGTCGTGGCCCCTTGTAGGTCCCCGGGGCCGTCAATCACGGGAGCACGGGGTCGTGGTAGTGACGCGCTCCACGATTTCCAGGGCTGCTTCTAAATTGTCCACAAAGGCTGCAGAGAAGATGGCCGCTAGATACATATTCTGGCAGTCCTGGAGCGCAGCCTGAGCCAATCGCATGTTGGCATCAGCTGCGTCCTAATCAAGAGGCGGTTCAGGATAGAAAGCAGGTGGTAGGGGACCCCAGAGGTGTCCAGGACTTTTTTCCCTCAGTGCACCTCCTGCTCATGGCAAGGATGCTGCGGGTGTCGACGGGTATCCCTCGAGCGGGCACCTAGTTGCCCGCTGCGGCAAAAGATCGCCGCCGCCGCCGCTTGCAGTCTTCGCCCTCCCTCCGTCCTCCTTCACCATCATCCTCGGTCCCCCCCCATCCTCCCTCCTTTCCCCTGCTGCTCTCTCCTCCCCTCCTGCTTGTGCGAGACCGTCATCAGCAGACGGTCCCGTCTGGCCCTCGATGGCATTCAAGGGCAGGAGGAGAAGGATGAAGAGGAGGGGGAGGAGGAGAGTAGAGGACAAGCAGGAGGCCCGACGCCGACATGGAGGAGGAGGAGAAGAATAATGAAAACATATGATAGGATTTGTTTCCCATGGGGGAAGACAGTGTTTGAGCCAACCAGTAAAGAATTCATGCATGAAGTATAACTATGTCTGATGGTTTCCACTACACCCAGGCGGACTGCTATAAAAAACACCCCCGCTCGGTTGATAAATCGAATGTGGAGGCGAGTGGTGGATCAATAGCACAAGCGATTGGGTAACATAACAGTTCTTATACGTAGGCCGCGCACCCATGTCTCCATCCCAGCAAAGCTACTCATACAACACAGTGGCTACAAGCATAACGCGTGCATGCGGAAGGCGACGATGATCTGGTCGAAAACATGAAAAGGGGCTTACTAACACCCGATATGTTTAGAGATGTCGCAACACACCAAGTCATACAACACCATCAACATCTAAGGCCGTTTAGGTTCAAATCGCGTAAGCGAACCCCTGGATGTCATCCGATCTTGAGCCCACATGGCACGCGATGGTAATTCGGAAATGCATTAAACAAACGGTTGAGGGGCACCGAGGAGAGAGCAGGCTGAATAAGAGCCTGAGGCGGTACCGTTGCGCCACCCATCCGCAGCCTCTTTGGCACAAATGTTTTCATGGTAGCGGAGCTGGCCACGGCCAGTTCCCGCTGGGCTCCCCCCCCCCCCGCGCGTAGGGGCGCTGGCTATAGTTCTCGCGGCCGCGGCCGCAGGGCGGGGTGTGATCCACGGCGACTGGCTGACACAGCAGCTGGCCAAGGCTCACGTGACCAAGCACTTGGACGAGGTCTACGTGACCATGCAGCTGGATAGGGTCTACGTTACCGCAGGAGTGCTGGACGAGGTATACGTGATTACAGAGCAGAAGAACGAGGTCTACGTGAACACAGAGCTGAAAGACGAGGTGTACGCGACCGCCGACGAGCAGAACGAGGTTTCCGTGACCACAGACAAGCAGTACGAGGTATACGTGACCACAGGCGAGCAGGACGAGGTGTACGTGACCACGGACAAGGAGTACGACGTCTACGTGACCACAGACAAGGAGTACGAGGTCTACGTGACCACAGATAAGCAGGACGAGGTCTACGTGACCATGGCGGAGCCTGGCGCTGAGTGGCAGGGCTTCGGGCTGAAGCCACCGACGTTCGACGGCCACCAGGATACGTGGACGGAGTGGGGTTTCGTGCTGAGGGCTTACCTGGGAGGTCAAAAGGCGCAAGCGTTGAGTCGCCTAGAGGCGGCCGAGCAACGAGGAGATCCAGACATCCGCATTGCGGAGACCTTGCATCGTCTGGGGGCTGAAGGAGTTACGGCAACGAAGAAGGTGTTCTTCGCGCTGGCCATGACAGTGAAGGGCAGCGCGCAGATGCTGATCAGGAGTGTAGGAGATCAGAACGGAGCGCTGGCATGGAGGGCGTTGATCCAGCGCTACGAGCCTGCGACGGCAATGAGGTTGCGGAGTAGCATGACGGCGATTATCAATGTGAATAATTTTCTTTCGGGCCTGGCAGGGTTTGAGCAGTGCCACTCAGACTGGGGGCGCGTCATCAAGCGCTACGAGACTGCGTCGGGAGAGGCATTCAACGCAGGAGTCAAGAAGAGCGTCTACCTACAGAAGGCGCCGAAGAACATCATAACGGCACTACAGATGCATGGCAAAAGAAGCTACGACGAACTGATCGGCACCACGACACAGCACTTACAAGCAGCGACGGTGTGCGAGGACGGGCACCTGCAGAAGTTGCCATGCCCGACAGGTCCTGGGGCCGGAGGCAGTGACGGACTCCGAACCTCAAGAGCCATGGAGGTGGACGCGCTGACACGACAGCATCCCAAAGGCAAGGGCAACGACGGCGAAGGCAAAGGCGGAGGTAACACAGGCAAACGCAAGAGCAACGACCAGAAGGGCAAGGGCGCGGATCCCATGGCGAGGGCGGCAGCAACGCGACAGCCAGCCTGGAATCTGTCAGGAGTACCTGGGGCGAGGCGATGCTGCGCACGTGGCCAGAGGGGGCGCTGTGCAAGGGATTGCTGGCATCGAAACGGGAACCCCGACTACGACGATGGTATGCAGAAGGCCAAGCACGGGAAGAAAGGAGGAGTGCACGAGATCACGATGCACGACGGCTGGAGCAACATCAGCACACCACCACCAGGGAGTCCAGCACCCTCGACAGCAGGACCTTCAGCCAGCCAAGTGGGGGCAGGACATCGAGCAATCACCGCGATCGACCAGCGCGCGAGAGAGTGGGAAAGCGGTTTCATCTTCGCAGTTGCGAAGGACTGGAAGCCAACGGTGCATGAGACAAAGGGTCTACAGCATGATGGGGGACGCCGCGCGGCGCTCGTTCTGGATGCAGACGGACAACTGCGCAGATGAGCGCGCGCGGCGTCAGGGACATTCCGAACGTGGGGCTCGCACCAGGGCGCAACCCAAACCTGGCGGTCGCAGACGGCACGCCGCTAAGGCTTTACGGATCGAAGACGCTGGCGCTTTACATAGCAGGTGACAGTTGCATCATTATGGAGTTCCAGGTCACTGACGTGAAGCAGCCAATCATGAGCGCGGGCAAGTTCTGCAGCAGGGTGGAGAATCGCGTGGCCTGGCACGACGGCAAAGGCTGGCTGCTGAAGCACGAGGCGGCAGGATTGGTCAAGCATACGAAGATCAACCACTTTTACGCACTGGAGTGTTGGACCAAGCTGTGCGATGACATGGAGGAGGTCCACGAGGAGATGACGCTACTGGCACCGACCGGGGCAGCAGTCGCAGCGGCGCGACCAGGTGAAGAGGACGAAGACGGAGACGCAGTCCAGCGAGCACTGGCAGGAGGACCACGAGTGCTACCATCAGGAGAGCGGCAGCAACCGCAGGTCGCATCTCGAGGACCTGCAGATGTACTAGCGGATGCGTCGCCAGAAGGACCAGCGGTAGCTCCCGACGATCGCGAGACGGTGGAACCCGAGACAACAGCCAGTGGACTACTTGGACCCCGAGAGCCAAGTGCGGAGGAGATCGAGGGGCACTAGGTGACGCACTACCCAGCTGAACCATGGTGTGAGATCTGCATTCAGGCGAAGGCCAACGGCATAGCCGACAGGAAGAAGGATAGACGCAACGAGTTGATCCTACTGCTGAGCTTCGACTACTGCCAGGCGGGCACCGAGGGGGGCCCCGTCAACTTCGAGTTCGTAGTGGGCAGCGACGCTTCGACAGGGGGCATCTGGAGCACGGCCATCATCCAGAAAGGTCGAGACGACGTCTACACAGTGGCCTCGGCGGTTTCGTGGCTAGCCGAACTGGGACACTCACGAGTGGAACTACAAGCAGGAGGAGCAGCCGAGTTCTTATTCATCATGGCAGTCAGGGCCAGGGCGATCAAAGACGGCATCTGCGAGACGATCCTCATGCGGCAGTTGGGGAGGTACAGCAGCCAGGCGAACGGCAGGGCCGGGGGGCCATCCAGACTGAGGAAGCAAGCGAGGGCGTTGATGCTGCAGGTCAACAAGAAGCTGAACCACGACCTCAAGCCCGACTCCCCGTTCCTTACGTGATTGCCAAGGCATGCAGCGTGGTTCTACAAGTGATGCATGGTCAGGGAGGACACCAACCTCGCACCCTACGAGGAGACCCACATGCTCAAGTACCAGAAGCCCATCGTCGCAGTCGGCGAGGCAGTGATCTGCAGGGGGCCAGGAGCCCAGGTCAACAAGCCAGAGTTGTTGTGGTTGGAGGGGGGGGGGCATTTATCTGGGGCGCGACGCGTGGACGGACGACCATCTGATCGGAGCGCCGACGGGGGCGCGCAGGTCCAGGGCGGCGAAGAGGAAGGTGGAGAGGCGACGCTGGGACAAGGAGCTGTTCGACAAGATGAGGTGGGCGCCCTGGGGGCCGGCCCCAACCGCGAGGGGGGGGCGACCAACGCAGAGGCCACTACAGGAACCGATTCTACTCGGGCCGACCTGGGCCCGAACGCGGCAGCCGCGGCCGCGGCAGGAGCAGCAGCAGCAGGAGAAGGACCACAACCAGCACCACCACAGCCAGCAGCAGCAGCAGCGGCAGCACCGTGCGACGACGTGGACATGGACAAGAAGCGATTGGAGGCGAAGAGGCCCAGGGACGAGGCGGCAGGACCGTCGACGCCGAGGGCGGCACCACCGCAGCCAATGGGCATTCCGCTGGCAGAGAGGAGCCCCAAGCGGGAATGCGAAGGCGGAGAAGGAAGCGAAGGCAAGAAGTCCAGGGTCACTACCATCCAGATGATCAGTGCGGTCAGGGGGATGCGCGAGGAGCCACAGGTGGAGGACGAGGGGGCGCACGCGCTGGAGGGCGACTTCACGGAGGCAAGGAAGGAGCGCTCGGAGAAGATCGCAGGAGACGGCAAGAATATCTTAAAGGTATTCCCGATCAAGGACACGACGTCCAAGATCTCGACGGGGAGGCGGGTCGACACCTACCAGGCGGACGGCAGCAAGAAGAGTCGGTGGACCACGAGGGGCTTCGAGCAGCAGGTGCACGGGCACGAGAACTTCGTGGCCACGACCCCCTCACTTCCGCACCTGAAGGCGATGCTGGTCAACGCGGATTAGCACGACCAAGTGGTGGCGTTTGGCGACTGCAATGGGGCGTTCTACCAGGCGCCGCCCACCGAGGACCGCATCTTCCTGGAACCACCACCAGAAGCAGGAGTACTTGAAGGGCATGTTTGGGAGGCGCTGCGCGCATTTCCATGACTCAACGGAGCGCCGAAGGCTTGGGGGACCACAGCGCGAACACCATGGGAGATATTTGGATGGTCAGGGGCCACTACGACGGATGTCTCTTCATGAAGCAACGCAACAGGATGATGGCAGGGGGGCGCGCCGACGACTTCTGAATCACTGGACCGAGCGACGACGTTGACAAGTTGTTAGAAGTGATGGGAGAGAGAGACTGAAGTGATCGGACGTGGTGAAGCTAAGCTCACCAAGAACGGAGATCAGGCGACGTCCCTGAGTATGCAGGTGGAGAAGGCCGAGGGCGGCTACACGATCAGCGGCAAGACGAGCTTGATCGACGATGTCCTGGAGGAGCTGGGCTTGGAGACGGCGAAGCCGCCTGTGCTGCCCGGGGCTAAGAACGAGATGCACATGAAGAACGACGCGGTGCAGCTAGACGCGGTGGGCCACAGTCGCCACGGGACCTGCGCGGAGAAGCTCTTACAGTTGGCGAGCCACCGCCCTGACATTCAACATGGAGTTGGAGGTCTAAGCAGGGGCACGTTAGGACCGACGGAGAAGGACTTGAGGAGGTTGAAGGAGATGGCTCGGTACCTTGCAGGCGCGCGAGACTACGAGATGCAGTTGGTTCCGAACAAAGGGGGCATCGCAGTGGAGTGCTGGGTGGACGCAGACCATGGGCCGATGACAAGACGGTTCGGATCTCGGCAAGTGGCGGCATCCTGAAGTACCGCGGATGCACCGTCCTGTCGCGGTCAAGACGCCAGGGTTGCGCGGCATTGAGTTCGGCGGAAAGCGAGCTATACGCGCTGGGATCGGGAGCAGCGGAGGCTCTCGGACTGGCATCACTACTCGAGGAGTGGAAGGAGGAGACGATACCGCTCGCGATGAGCGACAGCAGCAGCTCGCGACGCATCGCGAAGAAGCGCGGGCCAGGAACGATGAAGCACGTGGAGGTGCGCTTCCTGGCGCTGCAGCAGTGGCGAGAATAGGGGCGATTGAGCTTCGGCGAAGTATGCATTCACGAGTACCCGAGCGACATGATGACCAAGCCGATGACCAGGGATAAGCTGGATATGTTCTCGGAGATGGCTGGCCTGGTACGCTCGCAGGGAGATAGAGGCTTGAGCCCGGGCGGGTGAGAAAGGATCGAGTGAGAAGGTCACCTGCCTGCGCAGTAGAGTATAGGAAGATGAATTTTTGAGGGGGGAAGGGCCTCAGTGGCCGAGCTACCCCCCGTTCCATTTTAGAGGCTGTTGCAATAGCGTTTTCCTCCGAGGTCTGGGTCCAGAGTTGACCTGGCGCCCTCGAGGGCGCGTGGGGGGAATCCGGGGAGAGAGCAGATTTAACTGGAGCTTGAGGCGTTACCATGGCGCCACCTTTCCGCTGCCTCTTTGGCGCAAAAGTTATCACAAACCTTCCGTAGCGGGCGCCAGCGCCTGTCTTAGCATAGGTACGAGTTGGTTGGTACCTCGCATTTGCATGGACATGTTGTCAAGCCCCACGTATTGCATTTGCAAGGTCCCCATACATTTCTATGCTGAACACTTTGTTACCTCCTCGTTGTATTTACTCTTCCGGTCAAATATGACGAGTCTCGAAATCTGACTTGTCCTAGCTCTCGCCAGCTTCCAATGGTAATGGCCGCATTGGCATCGTTTTTTTTTTTTTCCCACGAGATGCCACAATCAATCTTGGCATGTCTGAGTATTGCTTACTAGTCCAACAACGACTGAACCGCCTACCCTTTTCCGTAATGCTTTGTCTCACCAGAAGACTACGCCCTTACATTTTCAGTCGAATTCCGCGTTTGTATCAAATGCGATCCCCATATGATTGTTTCTTTTTTTGTTGGCATATATGTGTTCTTGCATCCGGCATAGTCGGTGTCAGTCCACGTGGTGAATTCCCCAGGACGTTCTTCATACAATTCTCGATGCCCACACCTGTCGTGGTTCTGGAGGTACTTGCCCAGTTGTGTGAGCCTTTTCCATGCCCACTCGGTGGGGGCTGACAGAAAACGCGCAAGCTCCTCGATTGAGAATTGTATATATGAGCGCTCATGTGCTAGATCGTATTTCTTAACTTCACGGCTTGGTCGGGGATGTCAGCATTCTTCTTCGTAGAGCGTTGTTTTCTTCATGGCATCTCACATAATCAGTTTGTAGTGTTCCATGCATACTTTTCTAATACATGTTTCAGCATGCGTTTGATCCGCCTCATACCATAGGCCATCCAGGGTCATTCCACAATTCGGTTGGGAAGCTTGATCGGTGTCTATTATCTTGGTTATGGTGTTGATTCGAATGCCTTTTTGTTTTTCTTGCGGACCAGGCAAGATCAACAAGAACAACATCATTAAAACACAAAGTAACATCGTTTCCGTGCACCATACGCAAGAGCCGTTGCTTCAAAGGTTTTAGAACCCCTGGTGATGTTATCCGTTATCAGAACCGATATCACGTGCAACATCAATGTGGCAGTATTCCCCGTTGTTGGATGCGTCTTGGGTGCAGCACGTTGATTAAAATAATCTTCCACACATGCCACGTTCACGATCTTCTTCGGGTATGTTGATAAAGATGTGTTTTTGGCCTGGGCGTGAAAGCATGCCTGCTTAACATCTATGAACTTCTGCTTGAGTCTTTTCTCGCGCTCCCCTCGGATATGCCCTATTCCATTGGTGACTGCCATGGAGATTCGCAGTGCCTGGGTTTCCAATGGAAGGGTGGCTGCAAATATGTTCTTTACTTTGGGGTTGTACTCAACTTGCTGGGCCACCAGCCCGGGCCAGTACCTGGGATTGGCCTCGTCGCCTTTGTCGATTTCAATCCACATCTTACCTATGGGGGCTTTTCCAGTAGTAGACCAGCAGTTCTCTTATTTTTATCATAGACCTTATTGCTCCATCTCCTCTTCTAGAGCTTTTCACATCATGAGTTCTGGATCGAGTTCACTCCCTGATACGTCGTCCCAAGCACATTCTTGACCGACTCCGCGGTGAACGCCGCATATGCCGTCCGTGGTAAGAGGATGTACTTCAGCAACAAGTCCACAAGCCTCGCAGGCCCCACTAACTCTCAACCAGCCCCGGTGCTGTCACGCTCCACAAATCTACAATCCCGGTAGCTGAATCGGGTGTCGATATTGCGCGTTTCTTTTATGATTTCTCTTCACCGCTCCTTCCCTTAATCTCACTGGCCTCCCTGTCCTTCAGCATTTGGCCGGTGACTAAATCCTGAGTAATTCTGTTCAGGCACGAACATAATTTTGGTCTTGATTTCCTTGTGAGCATGAGGGGAGTGGCGCCATATTTGTTTCTGGTCCAAGTCAACAGAGGCCCATTCCCACTCTCACGTTGTTCGCACCTGACTTCGTTAATTTCTATTATTTCGTCCAGCTCGCTCAGTTAATTTCCGGGCTACAGGCTCTGAAGGAGCACCCTAATCGATCGTCAGCCGTCATTTGGTTAACCAGACCCACGAGCATAGCTCGACCGAGTCGGTCAAGACATACCTCTAATCTCCTCGTTCGGCCCCATCCAATTAAGTCAACATGCCGGCGCTCGCTTTGACTCTTGATGCGGAGGGCCCTTGCGATGTGGGTCTGTTAGTCATATGCCGCGAGGGGTTCTTCATAGACACTTCCTCTCCTTTTACAATGTTTCGAGTTATAGCAGTACAGATCGCCATCACATATCTGTACACCGTCGTGCTTTCTAGCATTGTCTGCATTGCCGTCGCGGTCCAGCTTGAGGCTCCTGCAGGATGCTCGAAGAGAAAGTATAGCCCATTGTTCCTTTGTACGTTGCACAGTTCGAACT